AACTAACTCCTTCAAGTTCCTGATCCTATTTTGCACCTGTAGGAAGTGTTTTGTTCAGTCAATGTTTCTAATCAGAAGAAAACAAACCCTTCCCTTTCTTCTCCCCCTGTCCCAAATATCTGTTCTTGTATCTATTGCCGACTTGAGCAATGTATCTGGATGCTCTCAGTGGACAGAGGGGTCAGTGAATTCACACTACGGAATAGTAGGCTTTTCATGAAAAACTGTGGGTATAGCAATGACCTGCTGTTCTGGGTTAGTCACCATGAAGTCAACCTCAAAACACAAGGGAGACCACATAAATCCTTTGGGGCAAGGAGTTTTGCTCTGTTTCACGTCACCCTAGTGCAGGACTACTACTTGCCGATGTTTTTGCAGAGCACACAATGCCAGTTGGACAAAAAAACCTGCATTTAAGAAGCAGTTGTTCTGTGAAAATCTTGAGCAAAGGGTTGAATTTATCTTTCCTAAAGATCAGGAAGTAGACTTCCAACTGGACTCACCTCTTGCAAAATGTGGGAACAGATAGTGTATTTAGATTATTGCAGAGATGAAGCACGTGCTGCTAAGCAAGATGCAGAGAAGGAATAAACAATGACTTAATGCCATTCCTGTTCCACAGAGAGCCATAAATATGGGGAGAAAGTTGCTGAGTAAGGCACTAATGCAGCAAGTGGTAGAAATGAATCAAGAGGCAGTGCCACTTTTATAGGGCAAAAAGGATTCAGTAACAGACTGACCGAGCAAAGAGATGGGGCTGAGATCAATTGAACGGGAACAGCCTTCTTGGATTAAGTGGCCATTCCCAGTGCAGCCAAATGCTATTAGTGAACCTATCTAAGAGGAGTCATCTTTTATACGGAGGGGATGAACCGTGTGAAGAATCTTATGTAGTCTACAATTTCACAAAGCTGCGGTGAACTAGAGACCAAACAGGGACGCCAGTAGGCAGGTGCTTTGGAGACACCCGAAAGTGAGAGAAATCAAGCAGAAACCATTGCAGCCCAAGTTAAGATCACAAACTATGCAGAAATGAAGTGGGAAGCAAAGGTGACTTCAAAAACTATATGTGGACCTCCTCTTTTCTGGATCTGACCACTGGGACTCGGTGAAAAAGTCTCTGCAAAAGATTTTGAGCTTTCATGAAATTTCTCATCTGAACCGGGATGAAAAGTAAATATCAGAAAGTGATGAGGGTACTAACAAGCTTCACTGTGTAGACCAGACAAAACACTGGTTTTTAAATTGCGATTAATTTCCATCTTCATTTTTTTATTTTGCAAACTTTTTCAGTATAAATTAACTAAAATTGGGAAAATAACTTGCAGATTTTTCCCTATAGAAACTGCCAAAAGGGAGTATGTTAGACATTTTCAAAATTGACTTCAAAGCATTTTAAATTGAGGGGTTTGGTGTCTTGGTTTTTTTTTTTTAATTAGACTCTTGTAGTGCATGATACAATTTTTGACAACTTTTCGTTTTCTGACCATACCCCAGGACTGTTTCACTGCAGAATTTCCCAGCTATCACTGCTGGCTGTTGTATTGCAACAAACTGTGCCAATAGCCCGGGTTCAACAGCAGGCAGGGCTCTCATTCAACACCCGCCTGACCTGGCCGTGCCCTCTGGGTATCTCTTTATGCCAGGGCTATTTTTGCTGTGCAGTCCTGCCAAGGCAGTATGAAAAGGGCTTTGTCAGAAGGGACACGTGAGCCTGGTTCTTCATCGTCAAACACCTGTATAGATATTTCCACTATAAAACATGGGTGTAAAATAATGCAGTTTGCACTTGCCTCCTTAAGGCAAATGGCAACGAAACCAGTGTCTTCATTTTCTTTTCTTTCTGTCGCAGGGAGATAAAGGCATGACTACTGTTTTAGTCATTGGTACCTGTGCTAAATAAGTTGGAATATTTCATCTGTTTCATTGGTGTAGTATTTTTCTCTCCCATTTCCCAGGTTTGAGTGACTTTACAAGGTGCACGGGGGGCAGTGAAGAATCAAGCCCTGCATTCACTCAGCCTGTCAGATTCTTCTTGTCTTTCCACTCACCAGTGAAGGTGTACCAAAGCCAGCCAGAGCTGGCTGCATCAGTGATATGCAATCTTACAGCCCAGCCAAGTACAAATAACCCATTTGTGGTGCTCTTGAGAGGTTTCTGAGGATCATTCTCTGTATCCTGAAAAGAAGAAGTGAAACATAATGACCTGGGAAAGTGTGTGGTGTGGGGGAAGCGGGTCCCTGCCAGGTGGAGGTGGCTGCAGCCAGGCCCTGGGGGGTTTGGAGAAATTTGTCAAAGGCAGCTTCCCTTCCTAAATCCAGCCAAGGAGAGGGACCTTCGGAGCAGAGTCACATTCCACCAGCGTTCGGCTGCCACCAGGTTTCATTTCGCTATATTTTTTCCACCTGTTTTAAAACTGAAACATCACATTCAACAGGAATATAGCCTGTTTAAAATGCAAACCTGAAAATGGGAAGGGGAGCCCTGCCACGGTGGAGCGTAACAACACTGCTGCAAAGCACCGAGTGTCTGCATGATGCTCACTTTTCCCTGATGGTACCCTCTGGGCTTGGGAAGGAGGAAAGAATTAATGGGACCAGGGAAACAGGAGAGGGGTAATGTACGAGATCTTCAGGTTCCCCAGCAGCATTTGGGGTATATACTGCATCGCTGCTGACCTAGCAAGGCTCAGTGCCTTCAGTAGGGAGGTCATGTGGGGAACACACGAACCCTGATCACACCAGGCTCTGTAGCATCATTTGCACAGTTGGAGATCTCTGTGCCTTCCCTTCCTGGGGGACCCCACGGATTTGCACATAAAAGGTAAAGGAGAGTTATCTATCCCCGTGTCTCAGAAGGGTGGATTTTGTTGTGAGTTAGTCACAAGGGCACAAACATAAGCTGGTAATAACAGAATCACAGAACTTGGAGATAAAAGGCTACCTCAAGGCAGGATCATCGATGTAACTGCATGTACATCATTCCTGGCAGGCCCTCACTCTTGCCTGTAGTTAAAAATCACAACTTATGAAGACTGAAGTTTTCCCAAATGACCTGTGCTATATCTCCACTGTTCCTTAATATTAGAAAGCCTGAAACAAATGTCTAGCCTGAATTTTCCTTGCTACAATTTAAGCTCATTGCTCATCATATCCACCAAAGAAATCTGGACAGGGCAGTTCTCTCCTATTCTCTTTTTATCAGCCTCTTTCTGTTTCTGAAGAGTGTTACCGTGCTTCTCTTCAGTCTCTTCTTCCTCAGATTAAATTTTACTAATATTTTACTTCATTTTTCCTATTTCTCCTTCATCTCTCTTTCCTCATCTTCTACCTGATACTTTGTCTGTCCCCAGCCCTTTACCATAATCTGATTCTATCCTTAGTTATTTTCTCCTCTATCAATTTCATGACTTTGTAGCAGGGCTTGTTCTGGAATTTGGGATTCTGCTTTGCCTTCCTGCTTTTGCGACGGATGATCTTAAAACATTGAAATATTGTCTGTCTCCCTGGTTAGAGGAGAAGCGCGGACTGAGCACAACTTCACCAGTCAGGAGCTCCTAAGCAGTAGCTCTGGCTTAGCAGCAGCTTGTCTTCAGTACAGTCCCAGGCGAGGCAGCCAACCTTGCCCTTGCTATGAGCTTCTTGCGTGATTTTTAAAATTACGGTAGTTTATTGCAAGAAATAGAAAAAAAACCAGCACTAGTCTGAAAATTTGAGCTAGTTTTGGGTAAGTGTCAAGGTCTCCTAAGCAGGTCGCATTCTTCTGGTCATAGGCAGTCTTTAACATTACTTTAAAGAACACTCCAGAAATGGAAAGTTTATGTATGATTAGTGCTCACAGGCTTCGGGGCTGTCATAAGGCTGAGGGATATAAAGACAAAAAAGATTAGGTGTCGTTATGTGTCTCCCATCCACAAACTGGTATTGTCAGTCTTAATATTGAAGAGTCTTTCTGAGTGGCGGGCTGTCATAGGCTGTTGGTTCCTCTGTATGTGGGGTTTTTAATGTCTTCATGCCAAAACCAGCTCATGGGTATATTGCCCAGTATTGGGCCTAAACACATGCAATGTCTTCTGAACTGCATGTCAGATTCTCCAGCCACAGCTACACGTTTGAAAGGCAAAGTTAATGATTTTAAGTTAATCTAGAGATCTTTATTTATGTAACTGATTGCAAGATAATGAATTCTTATGAAACATTTCCTTTTGTTCATTAAAAAACTACTCTGTAAGAAAACTCTGGGTCTGGATATTGTTCCGTTTTGTGCAAAGGACAGATTGTTGGCATTC